AGCGTGGTGTATGCCGACACGTGGTTGAAGTTGCCGAGATGTTCGACAAAGGCCAAGGTGGAACGAGAGATGGTGGCGATGGGATGACCTGGCACTCGAGCAGCCGTGAGACGGGACAGATACCTCAGAAAGGTAAGGAGGATGTCACGGCGCCCATGGTTGAGTGTGAGTTGTGGGATGGTGACACAACAGTCCCAGATGGCGGCGACATGGCCGTCGGCAACCAGATCTTCGAGACCGAGAAAGGCACCACGGAGTAAGCGTCCGCCCTGGACAAAGTTCTTGGACTGAAATTCTTTCATGGCCGCGAAAAAGTGCGAGATCATGGAGGGGTCATAGTGGCCCATTTTGGTGAAGCAGCTGACTCCTTTCCAGCGGGAATCCTGCTCGGACCAGCCAAGGATGAAACGGCGACAGGCCGACATGGTCGTAGCCAGATGCCGGGACTCGTCGGCCTCGAGTAGCTTCCGATGAATTCCCATAGCCTGTCCGCCGTTGACCACAAAGACCCGGGCAGTGCCCTTCTTCTTGCCTCCGGGGAGACCGGCATGGGAAGTTGAAGCCGACGAAGAGTTTGGAGAGGTCGGGCTGATGCTCTTGCTTCGGTCTCGAGCGCGGGCAGCCGAGCCGGTGGAATATTTGTGCCAGTTCCATTTCGCGAACTGGGCCTTGTACATGCGGGCACTGCGGCAAGAACTAGGTTAGTGGCTAGATATAGTCAAGAATAGGCGTCTTTCATGCGAGTCTGGCCAAGGCCAAGGTGATATCTGCACCATCCATAGGATGCAGTCGAACCGGGCCGCGCCATCCCTGGTTCACTGGTTGAGTGTTTGGGATAAAGGGGGGGCAAGCCTGAGGTTCATGTAGTTGGTCCAGTCTGGGACGAATATTTCATGCACGGGACTTGTTGGTAGTGTAGAGCAATTACAAATGAGGGCATATCGCTCTCAAAGTGAACGATAAAATCGAAACCAAAGGATCATGAAAATCAGGGGCTGCTGTCCATATCGATTGACTTACGTTGCGCGGAACTTGTACAGCACCTGCATGATCTCAATGACATCCTTGAGCCGCACATTTTTGTGTATATAAAGCTCCTCAATCACATCCTTGACCGACTCCCAGTGATTGGGCTTGGTCGGTATGAGCACATCGCCGCGGTCGGGCGGCGGGTGCACGTCGCCGACCACTTCGATGGGTTCGGTAAGATAGGATATTGGCGAGACCGGCGATGGTCCGCGCCGGTGGGGGACGGTTGCGACGCTGTTGGTTCTGTCTAACGAGAGGTGCGCGGTTTGTGTCTGGATAGCCGATACTGGGCTGCTACTCTGGAAGTCCATCTTTTGCAACAACACAGGCTATTGACTTGTGGAGCGAAGCTGTGAAGACTCGGATGTGGTCATGGAAACTTTGTACTGACCCCAGATGTCGACCCACCACTTCACCAAACGGAAGAAGACAACTCGGGTCGCAGTGCTCATTGAGCCTCTGATGGTTCGCTTCGCTGCTGACCCGGCCCAGCCAGAAAAGGGGGCGATGCGCCGTATCATCGAGACTGGGTCTTCTGCCGGCTCTCTTCATCTGTCAGGGTGCGAATGCCAGGTGGCCGGGTACTATAATATGCCCCAGAAAGGAAATATCGAGCTTTGGTCCGCGCGGGGTCTCACCGGGATTGGGGAGGACGACGTGCATTTTAATTTGGAACCGGCGAATCAGGACGGGTTGGCCCGGTGAACGCTTGTCAGAATGCACAGTTCCTCTCCTCATCTTGCATTTGAATCGGCACTCTTGAAGTGTGTCCGGTATTTGCTCATGGCCTTTTGATGCTTCTGCTTGGTCGTAATCAAGCTATATTTGGATTCAACTTGTCCAAGCCTGACCAACACAACTAACAAGCCTTGATTGACACACTGTCCGAGCCTATTCTTGGCCTCCACCACGTAACGGAGTCATCTGTCCGCCTTTCTGAATTCGCAGTCATGACATGAAACGGACTATCAGTACTAGCTGTCCATTAACTGCTTTTTCACACAATCAAGTCTTATCCTCTGCTCGGAGGAACAAAGGACTGTTCGTGGAGCACTGGAGCTCAGGTTCCTTTGTTCGTGAAAGTACCCAGCCAGAACTTACATTTCATTGTTCTTCAACAGGATGGCACAATCGACGAACAGGGCTATTGTCACCTGGCAATGCGAGCCAGTGTTGAAGTACTGTACAAAGGAGACAAAACAGCTGGAAATGCAAGTATAAATACACAGCTTGGCCCCTTTTGGTCACAGCCTCTCCGAATCCATATATCAGCAACCCACACTGACAATGTGTATCCGTCACCACATCCACCGCATGTACTGCGATGTCCGACCCTTGGTAGCTGTCGCGCGACAGACTGCTGACGGCCAACCGACCATCCGCAAGTACGTAAATCCCTACCATCCTCCTCACAGTTGCCACAAGCATGAAAGAGAGTATGTCACAGTTCACGGTCTTCTCAGGCCCGACCAACCAGACAGCGGCTACGTCCCGGTCCACGACTTGCTTAAATCATCTACCAACTGCCCTTTCAACGGCTGCTGTCGCCTCCAGGTCATAGATCTGCCTTGCGATTGCGTCAATGAAAAGAAAAACAGGCATTGGGGGAAAGGTAAGCAAGAGGATATCACGCAGTGCGTGCACTTCCGCAACTATCACCAGTACAAGTACAGGACTAACCGCATCAAGGAGGCCAAGAAGGCGAACCACCATCTACTTGTTGATACAACCGACAAGCCGTGGGACGAGCCGGATCTGCCTTATCTGGACAGCTGGGTTCTCCTGGACTTTGAGGATGTCAACTTCTTCTGCGAGCGAGCTGTGTTTAGCGCCGCGAGATCGGACTTCTTGGCCAAAGGCGAGAGTCTCCTCGATGAGTTCAACAAGGCCGAGCTCTGGCAGACCATGATCAACAACAAGACTGTTGCAGAGGCCAGGGTTGCCGCTAGCGAGCTCAGTGATGAGAACAAGCAAGAGATCAAGCAAGGCGTCGTGAAGGCCTGGAATGAGATGCGTTTGCAGCAGGCCAAGCTGTGGAAGATGGACCCGGTTCGTACCGAGGGCATGCTAGGCTTTTCGCCCAAGGATCAAATTTGTCCCGAGGACCAGCCTGTTGCGAGCGGCTACTTTGTTGCACCTTTCATGCCGAAACGCCCTGTGTTGAACCCAGTTCGACTGGAGATGAAGATGCTCTGATCGTCTTTGGGAGCATTCGCTCCTCACTCGATTATAATTAAAAAAGGAAATTACCCAAAAACTGTTTACATATATGCCCGTTCCCTTCTAGACCGATAAAATGTGATTTTTTTTTTGCAAGTGCAAGACCGTGCCCTAACATATCCAAGACTTGTATCGTAAACATTAATACCCGTTCAGTGACCTCGAAAAGTGAGCCGGGTGGTACCTGTACTTGACATCATCATATCGTCAAGCAAAGGAGCGGAGGTTCTTTTATTCCGGTTGCCCCGCAGCTTCCAATCCCCAAATGCCCTTTTTTCCATGATATCCCAAGTTTTAGACTAACGACAATACTGTACAAAAACATCATAGCTGTACAGTGCACTATTCTCTTGTCAACCTGGTCCTGATGAATGAGAATCCAAGACGAACATCATCCTCAGCCTGAGACTCCCGAGGGCACAAACATGCAGCAGGAAGAGGTCGACCGTATCGCCCGCACTTTGCTAGATGGACTCGAGGACGTAGCCCGCTCGGGACCCCACAAGCAGGAACGGACCAACCGCCGCATCAGAGGTTTCCTTAACAACAGATGCATATTCGACACTTTGGAGACCCAGTTCGTCTGGGAGCATCCCAGGTGTAAGTTTTGCAGGCTGTAAGTCATGGATATCAAGCTTTACTTACTAACTGAGCTGCTCCCGTCTCGTAGACCCCAACTTCTACATCCCGCTGTCCGCCATTCTGTCGGGCCAAGGCGATGTCTCCTTCTCCCCTGATATGGAGGACATAGACAACCAGTCGCTCATCCACGTCGGCTCAGTCGCCGTCCCCGGTGAGAGACCAGCGGTCGTGGCAGCCCTGATCAATCAAGGGCCGCTCAAAGGATTCGTCAAGATCTTGTTTGATACACTGGGTAAGCAAAGATGTCTGCAACTCAACGCAAAACCATCACCTCAGCAGCTGATGCTAGTGACGCTGCCACCATGAAAGACAAGTGGATGGCCGAGGACGAGGTGCTCCCACCTTCCCATCCCAGGGATCCCTACAAACGAATCGAATGCCTTCCTTCTTCACGAACCGTGCGGGTTGTGTTCGAGGGGCTGGTCATCGCCGAGAGCAGCAAGAACAACATCTTTCTCCACGAAACCGGGCTGCGAACGAGATATTACCTCCCGATCAGCTCAGTCAGGAACCTGGGTTGGCTGAGGAAAAGCGACACGGTGACCGTGTGTCCTTATAAGGGCACGGCGGGCTATTATGACTTGGAAGTGAGTCTTGCAGGCAGAGCAGGAGGTGTCAAAGATGCGGTGTGGTATTATGACGAGCCGTTGGAGGAGGTGGCGGCTATCAAAGGGAAGATTTGTTTTTATAACGAGAAATTTGATATCGAAGTTGACGGGTCGAGTGAAGTTGCTTGAGCCATCTCGGTAGATCCCTTGTTCCTAGCCAGCTATAATGTTAATATCTTGCTACCAAAAATATATTCTCAGCTCTGCCAAGTATATATGAAGATGGCGGCACCCCTCTATGGATAAGTGTGTATGGTGCCCCTGAATGATTATGCTCATGCAACAAGAATCTTCCCAAACCTGCATGCATGTGTATCAGTCTCCTGCAGACCGGCAAAGATGGCAGCCAAACAATCATCAGCGACGAGTTCCACAAGTGACTTCCTGGCGTGGTGAGTCTCAGCTTCCGACCCAATAAGCCGGGCGCTTACTTCCACTTTGTGGGCCACATGGATCCAGACGGGTAAATGCAGCCTTAACAAGCCCGAACTGCATGAACCAGTCACTTTGGCGGAGTGGTTAACGCGCTGCCCTGCTAATTTCCCTCTCGAGGGAGTTAGCATGTTAGGCAGTTCCTTCGGGAGCGTAGGTTCGAATCCTGCAGGTGACGTTTTTTATTTGCTTTGCTATGTTTTTTTGTTGTCATTTAACATGCTTTTTATTTTTCACTTTTACTAGGAGTAGTTCTTTACAATGAATGGTCTGATACCAGGACTGAATACCGGTATATGTATTAATAGGTAGCTTAATGCAAGTCTAAAAGACAGCTTGTATAAGATGTTAAAAGTCAACCCTCCTTTTACATCCTGCCTGCAAAGCAACGTTATCCAGAACAGGCTCGGAGTCGTCATCGAGCAAGGCACCTTATATTCGTATTAAGTCAAACTATCTAATGGTCTGCACGTCCCGGTTGGGCACATCGCGGTGTCTCAACTCGGGAGCTGGACAATACCGTAACATGTCCCTTCCAGAGAGATGGAGTGCGGTGTAGTCGGTGCAAGTGAAAAAAAGAACTTAAACATGGCATACAAGCCAACCATTGTCGTTGTGGATTTTCTCCTCTGTAATCCAACATTGTGCGGTTAGTACGATGAGATCCAAGGCAAGATAGCCCAGGGTAAGCGCATACCGAGATTTATTTCACGTGTCAACGCCCACACACCAGCGTTGTTCCGGCATTCGGCTTTGAAGTACTTTTGGCCGTTCAATGACGGCTGCCGGCAGGATCCCTGGAAACCACCGCTATTGTAAGAGAGGAGAATGATTGGTTAGCAAAGCCTCGAGACCATGTTATGGGGCCTTCAAACAACGTACTTTTTGCCCCAATAAAGCTGGCCGTCGCTATTTCTCAAACAGGTGGTGAGAGGCAGCTGATTATACACTGTCCTGCCCGCCTTGTCGGAGCATGCACACTCAAGGGTGATGTCATTGTTCCAGTAATAGACGTTGCAGTCTTTGCACGACCCCGTGTAGCTTCGCTTTTCGACACCCCCTTCAGAGTCATGGGCGGCGGAGAAGACGAGAGGGCCGTCGGTACTCAGGCCGGGGCTGGGAGCCGCGACAGGAGTGGCGAGGGCGGTGCCGGCCATGAGCAGGATGGCGGCGGTGGCGGCTGAGGAAGAGAAGTGCATTGTGAATGTTTGGGTTTTGGTTGGTGGGAAGTTTGTTGGATGGATGTGATGAAGGTGGTGGTGATGACGACAAGAAGAGGAGGGACGGACATGGCATCTCGAGAGCGAACCTCCAAGTTATATGGAAAACGCGGAGCCTGTTGAGTGGAGGTTCAGTCAGGGGGAGGCAGTTTCTCGTGTCTGCCTTGCCTTCGTCTTGGGAATGGAGCCAAATAATCCCAACAATTTCCACTATCAATCTTGTTCACGTGGAGTCGTGGACTTTGACTTGGGGACACTTGCCCGTAACCGAGAGGTCCAAATCCACCATTCGTTGCCCTATGCAAAGGGTCCCCGTATAGTACGTGACATCGTGACAGGACTCTACAACAGCTTCTCCCAGTTTTAAGGCCATCGCCACGTTGGATAGAAGGGCAGGATCAATCCTACCTCTGACTAATAGCAAGAGGTCCCCTAGTACACCATGGTTGCCGTACCTGATTAAATCATTAGCTACGAGGATTCGGGACGGTCTAGTGTACGAATGCTGGCCTTAGCCGAGGTGGAGTTACGTGTAGTGATTGACCTCTCAGAAAGACCCATCGAAAAACTCCGACGGGAAGTACTACTGTAGTAACATCGCTGCGGACACGCGATGCACCTCGCTTCGGATACAAGACTGCTGCTTGTGGGCCAGTTTGGTGCGGCTCTCTCTATTTCTCTTTACTTCTGACTCTCCTTTTTTTTTTTTTATCTTTAATATGTATCCTCCTTCATTTTCATTTTCTCCACACAGATTAGACTTGGCGTGCCCCTTTAATCAGCCTCTGTGTCGACAAGAGACAATATCACGACAGTAAACAATAAAGATTGCTAATCCCTGAATACAAAAACAAACAATACCATATCATCATCCACCATCACTCATGGGGCAAACAGGCCCTCAACCCACCACCTACACCTGCGGTTGGCAGCCCAGTCAGGCTGGATGACCGAGTTGCCCGTGTCGCTAACTTGCAACGTCTTGGCCGCGTTCGTGTAGATGGGAATCACATTCGCAGCACTCGCTGGTCCAGCTCCGACCATGGCATAATCGACCACCCACTTTTGCAGGTTCAGTGCGACGGGCAAGTTGATGGGGATGCCGAAGCTGTCAGTTGACTCGCCATTCCAGAAGGTGTATGCAACATCCTCGGCATGGATCTTGGGAAAGACGTCGAAGATGAAAGCCCGCGATGCATTCTTGTATGCCAAGTGAGTCGCAAAGGCGTTGCACTGCACGATGCCCTCTGCGAGAGCGAGACGCAGACGGGAGGACTGGTCGGTGTAGCCTTGGGCGCCCGAAAAGTCCTCTGGGTAGACGGTCGTAGCTAGCTGGTTGATCTTGGAGGCCGGGATGGACGGCATGAGTTGCTGGAAGAGGGCCTTGAAGGCGGTATTGTCCTGCACGCGGGGATCGGTGAACAGGAGACCCTCGTCGGACGTGTACGAGACCATGACCTCGACGTTCTTGGGCACTCTTCCCTTGCGGAGGAGTACGGGGAGCTGATCTGGGACGAAGATGCCGTCTACGTTGGGACCGAGAGTGAAGTGGTCGAATCCGGCGGCACCAATGACAGCACGGTTGACATCGGTCAGGGTGGAAGAGGGCAGTGCGCGGAGGGCGGCGATGGAAGAGACACCGGCGGCGGCGAGCACTTCGTTGTAGACACCGGCATAGACTGCCTGATCGGTGGCCGGCCGAGTGGCGGGCGACTGGAGCAGAGCACGCTTGAAAGGCACGGGGGCACCGTTGTACGAGGTCAACAAGAAGGCAATGCTGCTCGCGCCAGCCGACTCGCCAAAGACGGTGATCTTGTTGGGGTCGCCGCCGAACTTGGCAATATTGGCTTTGACCCAGAGGAGGGCCAGCTGCTGGTCCATCAGACCGGCGTTGGTGGCCACATCAAAATCAAGGGGACCCTTGGGCGGGAAACCAAAGAGACCGAGACGGTAGTTGATGGCGACATAGACGAAGCCCTTCTTGCCGTCGCGGAACCCCTGCTTGATGAGCCCGGCGGGGTTGCCATCCTTGGAGCCGCCAGCAAAGCCACCGCCATGGATCCACACAAGCACAGGCAGATTCTTGGGCTTGATGCCAGGGCCGTCAAAGACTGCCTTGGGGGCCTTTACATCGAGGTAGAGGCAGTCCTCGGTCTCACGTGGATCAACTGGAGGAGGTGGTCCAGGCGGTGGTCCAGGCGGCAGGGGTCCGAAGAGCTGTGCCAGCATGTACGGGACTGAGATTCCGAACCATGCCGGGTTCGCGCTGGGACAGATGCGCTGGACCGAGCCGTCATTGACGGTGCGGTTGATGGATACTTTGGGGAATGGCGCCTTGAAACGGCGAGACCCCGTGGGGGGCTCGGCATATGGAATGTTATTGAAGGCGTAATATGATCCAGTTGCCTGTGTGAAAAGTTGTTAGCATCGACCAAGTTCTTGATCATCTCTCGTGTTTGTCTAAGAGTGTATTTTTCTCACATTGAGAGCTCCAAGATGGACTGACACGCCAAGGTCGACAGTGGCTCCCAGGACCGCCGGAGCTTGCGCCAAGGCCAGCAGGCCAGCGAGGATGAGTTTGTTGGCCATAGCGAAGGTGTGAAGTCTTAAGTATGATTGACTAGACCTGATCAGCTCGGAAAAATGAGATGTTTTGCTTGGAGGAGGGAGATGATGGGAAATATATGTAGCTACGTACTAAATCACCAACAAGCCAATGCATAATATTCCCTACTGGTAATCATTAGCATGTGTGGCATGCTCGTCCTATCCATGCTTGGGGTCACATCGTCGTCGCGCCGCCCTCTAACAGCTCTTAGCGACCCACAAGCGAGATCACTGAATTTGGTAGCGGAGTATTGGAGGCACCACGAGCCTGGTAAACGCGCGTGCCAAGAACTGTGCTTGTTCCAAGCAGCTGAACCTCCATCTCTTCTATCCTCTATGAGATTTATGTGACTTGATGATGGCATATCCTTGACTATAGGCCACCGTGCAGGTGTGTGTGCATACTCGGCGCACGATGTAAGCGCCAGCTGTGTCTTGTAGGGCGATGCCGTCCAATGGGCAGCTTAGTCCTTTCTCCCGGCAGCCATCTTCGGCACTTTAACATGTCAAATATAGGCCGTCATAGATGCAGCATCTCCGAGTTTGGGACTCATGGCTTGGTGGCGGACGGGCAATATTGATATTATTGAATATCGAGCCCTGCCTTGATGACCTGCTTACTCGATACCTTGGCCGTATAAGTCGAGCAGATACAGAATGTGTTTGTCGTGACAGTTAGGTGTCTCGGTGTGCAAAGCTGAGGAATCCTCTTGTGCTAACAAAGGTCTCCAGGACGTGGCCAGAGGCACAGAACCGTTCTCATAGGTGCGGTTATCTTCTTCCCGTCTTGTGGCATTCAGACTATGGGATAACTGCATCAGCGACTCGGGAAGCAGATACAAGACCGCCAGCAGCCCGAGGGCATCAGATCAGACAACCAACCAGCACCTCCAATAACAGAGACGACAGCAGCTGACGGGATGAACGCCAAGTTTCATGTCCGGTCTTTCTGTAGCGTGCCGTTCCTCTCCGACCCCCGCATCCTTCTCGATCCAAGACCCCGCTCCCGCTTCTTCGGGGACCATCGAGCATGATCCCACGATAGCGCGGTAATTATAGCCACACCCACACACGTGTGTTTCCAGGCCACGATGTTCCTGCATGCCTTAGTCATCCTCGGCTCCTTGACCGTATGCAGTAAGGGACGGGAAAGCCCCATACCGGTGACGAGAGCCGCCCGTCGTTGGGTGGGAATAGCCGCTCTTGATGGGGAACTTGGAATCAACACTTGCCCAATCTCTGTTAGCTGCAGCCTCTAACCTCCACAACTTTTCCACTAGCGATCGCGGGAGACTACCTCGAATCGAGCCTTTGACCCGTATGGCCTACCAAGACGATGAGACCCATGCCC